AAAACGTTAAACTGGTGCCCAGAACCCAAACTTCAATTACCATATCAGTGACTGGATCCGAGCATGTTATAGACATGACTGATTCCAAGCCTGTGACATTCAGATTGCCTCTCTGGCAGCAAGGTAGTTAAGACTATGTTCCTTAATGGAGGTGTAATTTTTTAAACCAATTTCTTCAGATCAGAAGATCAGGTATTGTTTTCAAATAAGATATAGCCCAAATTTAAGCCAGGACTTTTTTCTGTCTCTTTAAGACTTTTACTTATGTTCCCCTCCCCCCAAGAACCTTTAACTTCCAAGGGTCAAATTTTGCATCCAAAAAACCCAAAATTGTAAGGCTCCTTCATTTGCTGATTCTTACCAAGTCGAGGAGAGCATCTACCCCCTGCTTTCTGCTCATTCTCCTCGTTTTTCAGCAATCACATGCTTCATGTCAGTATCCTAAATTCAATTTGCTCCTCAGTGCTCTCAGGGGATAGAACTGTGCTGGTTTTCTAAAAAGTTTTTCATTTTTGCAGATCTTATGTCTGAATGAAGACACAAAAGAGCAGTTAGGTGTAGGTAAAAGCAGATGTTTATAATTCCATGAACTCTGGCAGCCTAGGAAAGAGATGTGTGTTGAATATGTCACAGAATCTCACAATCTGTTTCCAAGGAGAATAGAGACCAATGATCAGAGGTGAACATCGCCTCTGTGGGCACAGACATCTTGAAGAAAAGAACCCTTTCATATGGGTGCTTCATGATGCTGTATATTTCACTCCACAGCTTCAAAGCACTTCTCTATTAAAAGTAATTCTCTCCAAATTACAGAATATCACACACAAACTTTTCACAGATCTTACAATCCCCTTCAGCCCTTGAGTCGGCTGGGTATGGACCAGAGAGAAAAATCATTTCTAGTACCAGAAACAACTTCTTGATTCAGCCTATGAGGCAGGAAGAGGAATATTTTCAATTGAAGGCTTTCCAAAGAGCTACATCTTTGGTGTAAGCACATACGCATGGTGACCTAAGAGCTCACGTAAATATAACTTAAATTAAAAGGCAGCCCTCATTCTCAGATCACTAAAATAGGAGACTCTCATATAAGGAACTCATAGGAGCAACTCAATCCTGATGTTTTATCACATAGCATAAATGAACTCATAAAATACTGATCTGTGCCAGGTAGGGTGGCACAAGCCTGTAATCCCAGCGGCCTGGGAGGCTAAGGCAGGAGGATTGTGAGTTCAAAGCCAGCCTCAGCAATGATGAGGCACTAAGCAACTCAGACCATGTCTCTAAATAAAATGCAAAATAAGGCTGGGGATGTGGCTCAGTGATTGAGTGCCCCTGAGTTCAATCCCTGGTACCCCCCCCCCCAAAAAAAATACTGATCTATGCAAACTCAACTCTATGCTACAACCATACTATTGTGTAACAAACCACCACTTGGTTCTCATATCATTAATTTTTGGCTGTGAAACAAAATATAATCCACATTTTATTTAAGGCAATAGTACATTTCTTCAGTGTGAAGTGTCTTGAAAGAACAAATGTTAAAATATAAATTTCAAGAATCCCTTTTGATTATAATGTGCCATCTGTTATGTAAGGATCTTGATTATAAAGTGCATCCTGTTAAAAGCAAATGGAAATAATATGAAGGCACATGTGACTTTCCTTGGAGTGGCAGCAGACATTCATGTCATAAACAGCAGATGATCTCTTCCCTCGGAGTCTAATCAACGAAAGAAGAATTTGTACTCTGAGGGAGGAAAGCTCATCTTCAATAACAGAAATATTAATAAACATCAGCATAGGTGCCCCAACTCACTAGCTCATAAATTCACAATTCTACATATTATAAATCTCTTCTGTTTTATTTACTGCATTTGACACAAAATTCGCCCCTTTGACTTTTTTTTTTCAATGTGGATGTGGTCTCAGCATTAATCATAGCATTTTAGATGATGTTGGTGAATGAAGTCAAGTAAATCAAACAGCAAAATTTCTATATTCCTATAGAGCTTAGAAGAGCACAGGCTGAAAAACATAAGGCAAGAAGCTGTCAAAGGAACTGGAAGGAAGAGAGGCCAACAATGACACAAACAAAGCACTGAAAAATATACTGTATGAGTTTTCCTTGGGGAGAAGAAATAAAAACTGAAAGCTGCTAGTTCCATCTGAAAGTAACCAGGGCATCATTTGAAAGCAGAAGTGACGAACTTACTAATCATCTATGTTTTGTTAGCTTAAATGTTTACTTAAAGTAATGCAAAATGGATTCACAATTGATTGAAGTTTATAAAACAAGACATACTTAGTGGTCTTTTTTCATAGTGTGGTTTTCTCCACTGATGAAGTGAAGGTAGGAAGACTTGTACTTGAGTCATTTTGATGATTCTTAATACAAATATTTTCACTAACCAAATGTAAATTACATATTAATCATATACTAGTCTCCTGTTGGTAAATTATCTTCTAAGTCTGTCTCTGTTGGAAAGGTTTATTCATTACTGCTCTTCAGTGTATCTGAAGAAACTCTACCTTGGGGGAGGGGGCTCTACCTTGGCCAGAGACAGCACCTGAAAGATTCAAATGGAAGGTGTGCATGGTGCAGGGAACACCCAAGACAACATCCTTTGCTACTGTGATATATTAATTGCCAAAAGTCCCTAGTGATCAACCTCCTAACAACATCTGTATCCTTTGCATTGTGACTTTCTGCTCTGGGGAATAGAGCAGATATGCTGAAAGATTTACCAATAAATAAATTAGTAAGATGGATACAATAAGACTTTTGGAAAACATAGAAATAGGAAAACACATTATTCCAGTTCCCTAGAGGAAACCGTTGTAGGTCATTACCCCAACTTTGGTGAGGGGTAATCCATCTAAAACATAATCAGCTTGATTCTGCAATTTGGAGAAAAGACCAGACAGGTTGTGAACCCCTCCAGAAGAACCTGCAGATCTAGCACTGAACCAGCATACCCCTACCCTCTCCCAGCTATATCTAGATTTGTAGAATACTTCCAGAGAGAGGGAGATCTTCAAGTATGTAGAAACAGTGGGGACTGTTTTACATCATGACCCACATTTTGCTCAAAGAATTTTTTCCTATAGGCATGGGCTAACTTAAAACTTGTTTCCAAGCATAGAAAGCAAGTCAATGCCTCTCTAAATTTCCACTGCCTTACTTTTGTTCAATATTAATTCTCATAAAATAATAAAATGCTAAAACTGGGAAGTAACTTTATGGTTTAGATTGAAAAGGTCGGGCGAACGTTGGAGGAAAAGACCACCAAGAGACCGTCTCATGCAACAGCAAAGGGTTTATTGGGGGTCCAGCATGCTGGGGCTCAGAGCTCACTTCAGAAGAGCAGAGAACAAAGAGCCCCGAGAACAACTTAAGCAGAGTTTATATACATTCTTTGGAGAGGGCAGGGACTCTACATACATCATAGCCTCCCTTAGCAAATCACTGTACACCGCGGGAAAATCAAATAACAACTCTTAAACATGATTAGTACATTCACTGGCGGGAACAGGTCGGGTGGGGGTGATAGGTCAGTCCTAAGGAGGGGTATACATTCAAACTGATTGGTTTAAGCCCTAAGGTGTATACATGCTGAACTGCATGGTCTCGGGGAGGGGGTGGTTAAGCAACTAGGTGGTCAGGGGAGATTTCGACACACATCTAATGGGCAGTTCCGGGAATTAACTGCCACAGGAATTTCAGGTTCTGAGTGCAGCTTAGAAACTTTACAAAACCTGGTCCTTTACATTTTTTTTTTAATTTTTTATTGTTAGCTGTTCAAAACATTACATAGTTCTTGATATATCATATTTCACAATTTGATTCAAGTGGGTTATGAGCTCCCATTTTTACCCCATATACAGATTGCAGAATCACATCAGTTACACATCCATTGATTTACATATTGCCATACTAGTGTCTGTTGTATTCTGCTGCCTTTCCTATCCTCTACTATCCCCCCTCCCCTCCCCTCCCCTCCCCTCCCCTCTTCTCTCTCTGCTCCCTCTACTGACATTCGTTTGTCCCCCTTATATTATTTTCCCCTTCCCCTCACTTCCTCTTGTATGTACTTTTGTATAACTCTGAGGGTCTCCTTCCATTTCCATGCATTTTCCCTTCTCTCTCCCTTTCCCTCCCACCTCTCATCCCTGTTTAATGTTAATCTTCTTCTCATGCTCTTCGACCCTACTCTGTTCCTAGTTACTCTCCTTATATCAAAGAAGACATTTGGCATTTGTTTTTTAGGGATTGGCTAGCTTCACTTAGCATAATCTGCTCTAATGCCATCCATTTCCCTGTAAACAATTTCTTTTATCCTTTCAAGGTATTATGTGTCCCCCAAAACCTCATCTGTGAAACAATGCAAAAATTTTCAGAGGTGAAATGACTAGATTATAAGAACCCAAACCTAATCAGTGGATTAATTCAGGGATATAGATTAATTGAATGGAACCATAAGCAGCTAGGGTGTGGCTGGAGGAAGTAGGACATTGGGAGCATGGCTTTGGGGTTTCTTTTTTGCCCCTGGTAGGCAGAACTCCCTCTCTGCTTCCTGATTGTCATGACCTGAGCTGTCTTCCTCTGCCATGCCCTTTCGTTATGATGTTCTGCCTCACTCTCCTAGAGCTATGGAGTTGGCCTTCTGTGAACTGAGACCTCTGAAAACAGGAGCCTCAAATAAACTTGTTTTCCTCTAAAATTGTTCTTGTCAGATTTTTTAGTCACATTGATGATAAAACTGACTAAAACAGGTCCAACAAGGCTGAATAGTGACCCCACCCAAATACATCCACAGCCTAATCCTCAGAACCTATGAATACATTATATTACATGGCAAAAGGCACTTTGCAGATGTAATTAAGGTGAAGGATCTTGAGACTGAAAGTAATTTTTTTTTTTTTTTTTTTTTTTTTAGGGTATCTGATTTTTTTTTAATCTGAACAGAAAATAAGTATACAAGTTTGCTAAACAGAAGTGGTAAAAACTGAATGTTATGTATTATGTAATCAGTACATCAAGTTTACTTCGATAGCCAGTGATTTTAGTTAATTTTGCAAAAAATAAAACCAGTTGCAGAAACAAGATTATAAAATGCCCCTTTCCAAACCCACGTTGATAAAACTGATTCATGTCTAGCTTATTAATTACACTCAGATTCAGTTCTCCTTGTGCAAATAATACATGTAGTCATTAATGTTGGTTTGGTGAACTGAAATTCACTTAGGATAGTTTTAATATAATAACCCAAATGTGAAAAAGTTATTCAAGATTCAGAGATAAACCAGTACCTAGGAAACATAATTCACCCATGTGTGTGATAATTTTTAACATATTCTTCAAAATAAAATCACAGTCAGAGACTGTGATGGCCCTGCATACTCAGTGCATTGCTTCACGTGGTGCATTACCTATGGCTCACCTGGAGTCTAAGACCATATGACCACCACGCTTCTAAAGAGTAGGCTCCTAACACACAAATCTGTCCAATTTTCTTCAAGATCTAAACTGCTTGTAAGACCTTGAGCTTGACATGTAAGAACTTTGCATTTTAATATCCCAAACATTGGGAAGACTAGGTGTGACATGTAGTAACCATCCCTTCTAGGCAAGACTATACATACACTTTCATTACATCACCACAAAGAACCCTCAAAACAACTCAATCCTGCAGATTGAGAAGGGCACATTTATTATTTAGCTTAATAAAGTCCAAATGGCTCTCTTGGGGTCAAGTACACCCCAAGGCATATATAAGGAATGAGTATAATTGGCAGCAAAAGAAATCTGCCACTGTGTGATAAATGCCATTAAGCAAAGAGATGTCATACATTTTAAGAATATACTGTGATTCGTTTGGTTCCCATTACCATGGGGCACAAGAAAATGAAACTCAAGACTACTTTGTTTGAACTGGACAAGAGATGACCCCAGTTTTAAACAGGGCTCTTCATTGAAGGAAAAGACAGAGCCATAAAAGTCAGATTAGCTGACTTCAAATGGTTTACATCCCAGGATGAATCAGATTACACTGATTTAAGCCCAATTTAATTTAGGCAGGTTTTTAACCACAAGAATAAGGACATTCTTAGTACATATTAATAATTAAACCAACATATACACAATTAGCAATATCCTATATAATATTAAATGTTTTAATATGTCCTCAATTACACTTTACCTAGTTAATTCGTTGTTTTGTTTTTTTTTTTCAAAAAAAAAAAAAAACAAGCTCAACTTTATTTTACAATGCACTTTGTATTTCTAAGAGTATTCTGTAATAATTTGATTTCATTGAAGCAGGTACAGTTACTCCAGATTTCTCTAAGAGCCAAACTCAACTGTATCTTCTGTGATCTGTTTGAATTCATAATTGCCTCTGCCATCCATATGTAGGTAGTACTCATGGTGTTTCCAAAGAGATTTTCTGTGTGACACAGTGAAGAGCGTAATGCCAACCTTCCGACAATGACTGTAAATGTAGCCTTCCACATCCACACTGACTGCACTTGTGCATTCATCCAAAATGGCAAACTGGGGTTTATGATAAAATAATCTTGCCATTGCCATTCTCTGTTTTTCTCCTCCACTAAGCACATCCATCCAATCCTGAATGCTGTCCCAGCCTCCTTCCCGTTCAAGGATATGACCCAACTGTACATTGTCCAGGTACTCCTTCAGTACAAGATCAGATATCCCCTTCTTTTTCTGATCTTCTCTTCCATCTGGATATATCACTTGGTCTCGAAGTGTTCCAAGAGTCATACAAGGTCTCTGAGGAACATAAAATAACTTTCCTCTCTCTGGCTTAGTTAGACGTCCTCCAAAAAGAGGCCATAATTCACCAAGAACACGAAAGAGTGAACTCTTTCCACAGCCATTTGGACCACAAATTAGAACATTGGCCCCAGATCGAACTTCAAAATTAAGATCTCGGATTAAGATATCTCCATTTGGTGTTGCTAAAGGAACATGATCAAACTTTATAATGTTATCTGCATTGATGATTTCTCCAGCACCAGGTATCAAGGTACTGACTTGTACTCCTTCAGTACCCTTTTCCTGCTGCAAGACCATTGTGCGTTCATATTTGCCATGATTTAAATCCTTCAGTACTTGCATTAATTCTGTAATCCAGCCAATCTAGTCATTTCTCGCCCAGCCAAAACTATTCGACCCAGAGCTTGAGACATTCGCAAAAGCATTCTTCCACTTTGGTAGTAATCCTCCAAAAGCTCTGAATGGGTACTCTTGAGATGACGAGGATGAGACAAATCTAGGAAAGGACGACTCACAACCAGGTAACCAACTACAGTGGCAAAGTATTTGGCAATTATGCTATCAATGAAGCCCATTGAAAACCGAAACAAAATGAAATTATGTAGGTGTTCCACCAGTTTCCGGAAGACTGAGTAGATTGTCTGCTTTTCTCTTTTATTCCCGTCGTAAAATGCAATTTCTTCACTGTTTGTAATGAGCCGGGAATTAACATATCTATATTCACCTTCATATTTTTGTTCAGTAATTGTCATCTTACCAATGGGCCTTCTCAGTCTAGTTAGGAATAGCCCAGACACAACCAAGTAGGCCATCATGCTTGCTGGGCCCTCAGCTCCAATTGCACTTGTTAACTTGAAAATATATAAAACTATATCTAAAAATGGCTTAATAAGATTTGAATACAGATCAACTACACTGTTACAAAATTTTTCTACATCCTGTGTAAGTAGCTGGTCTGGATTAGCTATTCTGTTGTCCAGATTTCCCATTTTATAATATGTGAAAGCTTGGAGATACTCCTCATAGAGGTATCTGGTGAGCCTTACTCGGAAGCACAGTTTAAGCTCATTTAACCCATATTTTAAGAAGTTATTAACCAGAGAGATGAGAGGCATGGCAGCGATGAAGTTGAATAAGTACCTCTTGAAATCTTTTCTGCTACGACCAATGATACCACTTTCAATGAGTGTCCCATTTTGAATCATCCAAACATCACAATATGTTCGAGACACCAGCATAACAGCAATAAGTATCAAGTATCCTGTCTCTTTACAAAATGTCCTAGGGACCATGATTTTCAGGATCTGTGTGAGCCTTGATAAAAACACCCTGTCCACCACAGCTCGCTCTTTTTTTCCCTTCTTTCCGTGCAGGCCGAGGGCGCGGCGCCGCTTGTGGAGCAGGCAGAGCAGCAGGAAAGCGGCCCCCGCCAGCGAGGAGTTCCGCGCCGTCAAGTACTTGCTAAAGGCCGCCATGGCACCACCAGGGCGAGCGAGCCGGCGAAGGGGACTCGGCGGCAACTACCTTAGTGCAGGAAGCGCTGGGGAGACTTGAAAGTAATTTTTGATTATCCAAGTGGGCATATGAATCCTTAAAACTGGAAAATGTTTCCCGTTGGGGTCTGAAAGACAAAGGAGGAAGAGAGATACAAATTTTGAGAAAAACTCAAGTCATTGGGCTTAAAGAGGATGAAGGAGGCAGGAGCCAAGGAACATGGAGGCTTCTGGAAGCTGAGAACAGCCCTCAGAATTTGTCAGCAAAACATCTCACTCTTGTGGTTTAGATTTAGAACACTGCTGTTGTTGGTAACAGGCAGTCGGGATGTACCTGAGGGGCTGTGTCTTCTGGGCACCGAGGTGTTGTATATCAGGGTGGTGAGTCCACGTATACACAGGTATCAACATCCTTTAAGCTGTACCCTGAAGAACCTCACTATATATATATTAAACCTCACTTTAAAAACTTAAAAAAAAATACTCTTCTCAACTTCGGTTGTTTTGCCTTTCACAAAGGCTATTTAATTTTTGAGAATCAAAAACACAAGAGAATACCTGGAAATAATTTTGTTTTTTGAAAAATATTCCAGGCTAGCAGGGCATGGTGGCACACACCTGTAATCCCAGCAGCTCAGCAGGTTGAGGTAGGAGGATCCAGAGTTCAAAATCAGCTTCAGAAACTTAGCAAGGCACTTAGCAACTCAACAAGACCCTGTCTCTAAAATAAAATATTTTTTTAAAAAATGGCTGGGGGGCTGGGGATGTGGCTCAAGCGGTAGCGCGCTCACCTGGCATGTGTGCGGCCCGGGTTCGATCCTCAGCACCACATACAAACAAAGATGTTGTGTCCACTGAAAACTAAAAAATAAATATTAAAATTCTCTCTTTCTCTCTCTCTTTAAAAAAAAAAGGGGGGGGGGCTGGAGATATGGCTCAGTTGTTAAGCACCCGTGGAAAAAAAAAAGTCTGAACAGCAATTCCCCTTTGTTAACAACAATTTCAAATCTTTTCATAATTGTAAGACTGGAAGACTGCACCACACGACACAGATCACCAAAGAGGTTCCACTTTATTACCAAAGGCTGTGTGTTTATACAGGTCTAAGGAGAGGTCCAAGGGCTGAGGTAGATAACAGGTCGCCCGTTTATTGGCAAGCTCTTCCATATGTCAGTTCCGGAGCCCAAGAAGTTAATTCTTATTGGGGCTAAGGCTTCCCACCAGCAGGATTTGAACATTGGCGCCAGCGGGAACGTTTTGCCCCAGTGAAAGAAACAAAGAGGAGAAAAAGGGTTGTTAAACGCCATGTTGGGGTTTTTCTCTGGGGTGCTGCTGCCATTATATGTTTTCCCAACATTAATGTTATAACGATCATTATTGCTATTTGGAGGAATTAAACTTTCGAAGTAGCCTTACCTTTTTAAAATGCTTTATTATTGCTTGTGATACTACACATATGGACTGGGCACTTCCTTTATTGATTTTTTTAATCCAAAATTCAAATTGAAAAAAAAAAAAAAACCAGAAACAAATAAACAAAAAAACCCTCATACCAGTTGGTTACAGCTAAGCTAAAAGGAGAACCACCTTCTCTCCCATCAGGATAATTAATCAATAACCAGTCTATTACCAACAACAGCAGTGTTCTAAATCTAAACCACAAGAGTGGGATGAACAGCTTTATTTGCCATGATTTCAATATTCATCTACATAATTTAGAGAAAGGACTAGAAGGCACATGAACAAATGTTGACAATGGTTATTGCTAAGCCATAGGGACAGATAACACTACTGAGCACCAACTTTATGAAGCAAATATTATTAGCACCCTCATTTTACCTGAGGCAGGATATTGAAGCTTAGGTAGTTTAAGCTACTGAAACCAATGTCAAAGGCTGCTAAGCTCCTGAGCAGGGCTTTGAACTCCATCTGATTTCTACTTCTATATAATGGAAGCCTGTAAAACACCTTCTTTTCCCTCTAACTCCCTAAATTCTCTAGGGGGAAAAAAATCACTTTTGCAATAAAGAAAAATAGTACTAAGGAAAGAAAAGAGAGAGGAAGGAGGGAAGGGAATTTCATTACAGATCAATAACTACAACATTACAGCCATCATTATTTTTTTAGGCTAGCTTGGCAATTGCTGGATATAAATGGACGAGGCTCGTAGCATGCTAATTGGGACCTCTTTGCCAGATCAGGGGACCTGCTTCCCTTTCCCCAAAGATTTGCCCTCAGCTGACTGGAGCTACTTCACAGAAGTTACCCATCCCTCCCATCTCGACTTCCCTGTCCCTTCCCATCTTCAGTCCATAACTAATGACTGAATAATACAGAACTATAAAGGCAGCCCTCTTGTTCCCAAATCTGCAGGGCATTTATTTCAGAGAGTGCCTGGAGGAGGAGTAGGCCAAGGCTAATACTTTGCTGTACTCTTCTACTCAAAATAAAATAAAGCATTTGAATAAAATACATGATTGGCCCTGTGTAATGGTGTATGCCTGTGATCCCAGCTGAATCCTATGCCTGTAATCAATCTGGAGGCTGAAGCAGGAAGATGCAAGATTGTGGCTAGCCTCAGCAATTTAGAGAGACCCTATTTCAAAAACATGTAAAATATATATATATAAAGGGCAGGGATGTAGCTCAGTGGTACAATGCCCCTGGGTTCAATCATTTTTATTAACCAAGTGATATGGCACAATCACAGAAGCACACTGAACCTTTTCTCTGAAGAAGATTAATTATACTTATCCCTTCTTATTCAGTGGTAGGCGTGAAAACAACTGAGCTAATAAATGCAAAAAAAAAAAAAATCAGGTCTGATTTATTTTTCTAATTGAAAAAGCTGAGACAAAAAGTAATATAAAAATATTTAAGTCTCTAATCCCCAGACAGACACTACAAATGTTGTTAGAGGTCAAAAGACCAGGAATGTCCACAGAATGTGATAGTGCTCACTGGAACAAATATAAAATTTAGTGAGAAATAACTCGACATCGAATTTGATTTTATTTTGTTTATTTAAGAAGAAAAAAAAACACAACAAACTTTTCTTCAAATAATCCTCAATTTCTCAAAAGCAATTTATTTTTAATATCTATCTTTCTTAGTAAGTTTGTAGCTGCATCATAAAGCAAATGAAACCAGGGTTCCCTTTTTGTGGAAATTTATTTGTTTTATTACTTGCCTGTGAATAATTCCTAGGAGAACTTTCCTTGTGTTAAATAATAATTTTTTGTTTGTACTTTATGACTTTCAGTTTAATCATATTAACCACCTTTTGCTATTTCTTTCCGTATTGTCATCCTGAGAGATTTATTATTTGTATTTTCTTCTGTGTTTTTCTTTCTTTCTTATTTTATTTTGGTACTAAGAATTGAACCTGGAAGCACTTTACCTCTGAGCTATATCCCAGCCCTTTTTATTTTGTTTTTTATTTCGAGACAGTCTCCCTGAATTGCCTTGGCTGGCTTTGAACTTGTGATCCTTCTACCCCAGTCTCCCAAATTGCTGGAATTACAGGTATGCACCACCACACTGGCTCTTCTGTGTTTTTCTAAAATGTATTGTAAACTTTATTTTTTTCTCTGAAAATGTCTTCAGGTGCCCCTGAGTAATTAAGTGATGACATCATTTTCACTTCAAAAAAATATTGGAGATTTCACCTTTGTGCAAAATAAATTTGTAGTTTTATGCTGTTTCCTGTCTACTCAGATGAATCAGGTCATTTAAGACTATGTCCTGTGGGCTGGGGGTGTAGCTCAGTGGTAGAGTGCTTGCCTAGCATGTGTGAAGCACTGGGTTTGATTCTCAGCACCACATATAACTAAGTAAAATAAAGGTCCATTGACAACTAAAAAAATATTTTTAAAAGGGATGTCCTAATTAAAAAAAAACTCAGATCTCATTGTTACTTTCTTATTTACCCCTAACATCTGCAAGTAGTCTTTAGCACAAAATTCTAAAATAATGGGTCATTTTATCCACCCTACCCATAACAGAATTCACTGAAAAAAAAATGTTGAAGGCACTGTCGAAGGACACTGTGATATTTATTCAATTAAGTTTATACCACTGAATAAGAAAGGATAAGTATAATTTATCTTCTCCAGAGAAAAGGTTCTGTGTGCTTCTGTGATTGTGCCATATTACTTGGTTAATAAAAATGATTGAACCCAGGGGCATTGTACATTGTAAATTGTTTCTTTTATCGTGTAAATTGAAAGTAGCTGGAAGTCAGTTATGAATAAGCTCTCAGATACAAGAAAAATAAATAAGCTTGTTTTACTTCACATGATGCTGTGTGCCTACTTTTGATAGTACCCACAGGCTTGGTGTGGTATTAATCTCACTCTCTCACTCATGGGATCCAGATTTTCCAGCCCTCAGGATCCCATGAGACACACCCCACCTCCCTGTGGGTTCTGTTACCCTGGAAAACCCCTAACACAGTAGTAGTCACTCAGTACTCCCAGAACCCCTGAGACACCGAATATGCAGACAATGGCCAAACCATATGTGTCAAATGGAACTGTGGCCCACCTGCCCAGGGAATCAAACACATTATCTACAATAAACAATCCAAAAAGTCAGCCTGGGGTAAACCGGATTGCTATCTCTAGCTACAATCCAGTAGGCTAAGCAATAATTGAATTAACAGACCCAAATGTCCAGGACTTAACTGATAATTGATAGTTTCTCTAATGGTTGTCCCTACGTCCAGATCAACCAGAGAAAGTAAAAAATGCACCCCTAGCTAATCACAGTGATGCTTGCTTCTAGTTAGCCCCCTCCAGCTTCCACTCCTAGCAGCACACACCTGAAGCACTGCCTCTTTTGCACTGCCAAGCTTTCCTCTGTTGCACCTTCACACTTCTGCCTGCCTTTGAGTTTCTACCAAAACACAAGTGACATCGACAGACTTCCTGTTTATTAAAAGCTCTGAAGAAAAATGCCTTTGGTTTTTCTCATTGGGTGGTCTTTGTTTATTTCCATAGCCCTCACTCCTAAGGTGGCAGGAATCAGATGTGCCAGAAACCACAGTGAG